GACATTTGGTCTAACATCAAGGGAATTGACGTGAACGAAAATCAAATAACTTACTGCTGATCGATCCATAAAGAGCGAGTGGAATTCAATGAAGAAACGTCGGCTCTCTTTGGAGCTGGTTTGCTTGTGCATTTCAGCGTAGAGATAACAGAGCTATAAGAGGAAGAGATTTTATTGCTGTTACTGTGAAGTTTCTTATCTCATTAAGTACATAATACATTCTCAAAAACAAACACATCTCAGAAACTAAGTTTTTTTCATATAAGTGTAGGTATTCCACAAGGATCCATCCATAGCCCACTTTCATTTGTTTTAAAATATATTAACTCTTACTCCAATAATACAGAAGCTCTAAGAGGACATGCATCCTTACATTTTATTTAACTTTTTTCTGTTACAATCAGTCATTTTCACTTGTCTCTCGAGAGCTCTGATAATTTATCTCGGAGTTGCAGTGCTGGTTTTCTTATGATAACGAGTTTGTATCTGTGGTTCTCCAGAATGATCTCCAGAAATGTATAACTTATCAAAGGATAACCAACATTATTTTCTCAAAATAGTACAGTCATAAATAAGATCATGGGTCAGGCATGTGTCCACAGGTTGGTGTGTTTGCATACATACCAAAGGCACAGGGTCAAACTGTGAGACAACATGATGGAGGAAGACCGCGAGGTGAGCCGGCCGAGATTTCAGTAAATCCAAAGTCTCGAAAGAGCTACACGGTCCATTAATCTGACAGACAAGAGAGAGAGAGAGAGAGAGAGAGAGAGAGAGAGAGAGAGGGGTCAAATCAACTTTTTCGAGGGAAGGTAATATTAAAGTTCATCAGCAGGGTTTGCTTTTATTTAGCAGGATTTTAAAAAAGCAAATAAAAATTAACATCAAATTTGGATACACACTTAAATAGCATAATGAAAAACAATAACGTAAACAACTTGCTTAAGTGGGATTCACTAAATGTATCTGGTTAAAAATAATCTGACATCGCAAGCATTTTTTTGTCCTTCAACTGCTTAGAACCATTTGTTGAGGTACCTGCTCCTGCTGAGAGTCAAAGTAGTCGTCTTCTGCTCCGATGATCTGAGGGTTGAGGAGGTAGGGAGGGCTACCCACAATGCACTGGGCACTGGATTCCTGAGGGACATATTGGTGTATTTAGCAGCACTGACAGACAAAACTCGAACACTGACATACAAAACGAGTTTCAGGATAACCAGCATGTATCATGATTAATATATGTAGCAATGACCCCGTCTTAAAATCCAACAAAGCATGTCATGATTCATAACTGACCATTTGATATCCCTTTTGATTTCCCTTTCAGTGTGTTGAGTAACAGTAGGAAACAAACACACAACAGCAAAAGTTAAAGGGATAGATGAAAGTGTGTTTTTAATGCTACATTTGGGGTTACACTTTTTTAACTGGAGGAAGATTTCAATACAGAAACCAAACAAAGACTACTCACAGACTCATATTGCCCGATATAAGTTTGACAGAACACTAAAGAAATATCGATCATATCGCGATCCCTACCCTGCGAAACAAGAACAATGAAGTTCCTTTGCTTTAATTTCTTTTAGATTTATCATAAACTATTGAGGATGATGACTTTGAGCTGCAGCCTCGGACTTTTAGCACATCTTTGACTGTAGGTTAGTAATCAGGGGCTTTCACTAAAAATTTAACTTCAGCTGCAAAACGATGTCAGAGTAATTTATTAAGGAGCTAAAAACTCAGAATAGTGAGTGTTTCTTTCTGTAATTGTGTAAGAAAGCATTTATCACTGTGTCAGGGGCTCCTCCGTGTCAGGCGACGAGCAGAAATTGAGTCCGTCTCTGCGGCTGATGTCGGGGCTCTGGCAGGGCGTGTCTCTGTTGCCAGGACTCTCTGGGAGGGGGCTGCCATGAATCTAGTACACACAGACACATTATTACACACAATGAACAACACAACACTTAAGCCAAATTGATTGTTTAGTCTGGGGCTGAATGCTGGGAAATCCCCGGGGATTAAAAAGAAGGACAATTTCATCGCTATTTATAGAAGCTGTGATAAAACTGATTGTTATTACAAAGGAGTCTGAGCCAGCAGCATTTTCAGACAAACTTCCTGATGGGTTTTTTTTTTTTAACATCAGATATGAGTCACACTTACAGTACACTGTTAACAACACTCTCTGGCCAACAACAACACCCAATCCCTGATATTTGTTCTGTTATATTGAAATCGATGGGCTTCAAAACAAAGCCTCTTCAAAAACAAAACAATGGGTGACATCACTGAGACTGCATCCATGTTTTACACAGTCTATGATCAGAACTGTCAGAAACTGAAGACATGCATCAACTGAAAGATCTTTTAGCTCAAGTACATGTCTTTAAAGTATTCGTCTGTTTGACTAAGAGTCAAAGATTTTAATATTTATTATAGTGTGAGGAGCTTGAAACAGTCCATGTTTGGTGGTTTTGATTGACTTTGACTGAAAGCAGCTGCCACAAAACAACACTTGACAAAGAATGTGACTACAGAGTGCTGTTGAGTAACGTGGTTCACCACACTGAAGGCTGCAGCCTGTCATTATACCCACAGAGTTATTGTTGGTCGAGGGCCCGTCGTTACCGCTGTCACCCTGCAAAGACGAGGTCTGTTCCCTTGCAGGAGGCCCACCGTCCCCCTCCTCAGCTGCTGTGGCTCCGACCTAAAAAACACACAAGTTTGAATTCTTTCACCTTCGACCGGTTACAATTAACACAGATCCTGTTGACTGAAGAGGCTGCAGTGACCTGAGGTAATGTGAAGTCTGCAGATGTGACAGGAGACATCAGGATTAGTTTGTACTTCAGAGTTAAAATGTCATCCAGAGTGTGAGCGACCACAATGATTACATAATGATGCATTCAAATTGAACCAGGCTGACAGGTGGTAGTTTGAAAGTAACAACTTCTGGTCGGCTCAGAAGGACGGCAGAACAAATAAATAATGACTTTATGCTGAAATGTTGTTGCTGTTTTGTATATGAAGAATGGATAAAAACATGAATATTTGTAAATTATTTGGTGTTTTATTTTATGTACGTTTTCTGGTAAAACATTTACATTCTGTTTTTGTTAATTATCAACTGCAAACTAAAAATCAAAGTCAAATTCCCTCAAAAACAAAAACCAAATACTTAAAATTATTAATACACCTGTAACAGTTTTGGGTCTGTGCCTCTTGGTTAACATAGTAACTGAGCAACACAGTATGTCTTAAAGGTACAGTCCACACTTTCAACTGTTACACACTTTCAAAGTGTATGGGAAATGTCTGGTTGTTATCCCAATTCAAATTTTGTGACAGAGCAACATAAAGGAAATGTTATCACAGAGGATGGAAAACGTTAAACTAAAGAGGTTTTCTTCCTTTGCTGAAACAAACCCAAGTGGGCTAACGGTGTCATAACTGCATGATTTAGTTTTTGTCGTGTGTGCTGTTCTACTTCACCTGGAACACGGCTTTGCTGAGCTGCTCCTGCAGAACAGAAATGTGCTTTTTGACCTCTTGGATCTCCTTCAGTAGTTTAGGCCGAGGGTTTCTGCTGTACTCCTCCTCCTTTGCCTTTTAACAAAAAAGAACATCCCACAGAATCCTCAGTAAAGCAGAAATGAGCTACACAGGAAAAAGGAAGATTACATTTTTTTTTTTATTGCCATGATGACTGCAATAAAAAGGACAATCTGAAGTGATTTAATAATGTTTTGACATGATTTTAGGTCTAAAGTTCCCCAGTAAAAGATGAAAACATGATAAAAAGGCAGTCAAATAAAACTCAATATGTTCAGGAGTTGGTGATATTTTGTATTCATGTGCAAAATCTGTTAGAATGACTTTGTCTGAGGAAATACACTCATGATCACACATACATTTCCACATATATATAAACACAGTTTCGCTATATTAAAACATACCTGCAGGTCCTGTTGCTCCTTGGTTAGCATCTTTTGCAGGATGTCGGCCTTCTGGCTGAGTGTGGTTTTGTTCTCGTCCTAAAAGAGGAGATGAAGAGAAAACAGTCAGCTTCTCTGACAAACAAAACAAAATGAATGTATAACAGTTTTTCTAACAGCTTAATGTGATTATAGAGATTTTCAAGTGAGAAAAGAGAAGTGAGACAGTCAGGATTATGAAAAAGAAGAACTTGGACAGGCAATAATTATTCCAGGGTACGGTTAGGACCTTTAGCAACGTTTACATTTGTTTTTTTCTGTGCGTTTCTTTGAATACTGAAACTGAATTAAAAAAAGAAATTGGGCATTTACACACGTCCAGTCTGCTGTCCAGTGTTACAGAGAGAGACGACATGTTGACACAGTGCAGCAGTTTTTGGTAAGGGGCTGGCTGTAATGGACTGAAACGTCTGAGCTTATTAAAAATAATGAGCTGCAGGGGTTTACCGACACAGATAAGCTGCTGATATCATGAATCTTACAGTTAAAAATAACAGCATTTTGGAGAAGTTTAGTCTGAGTTCTCCACTGACACCCAGCAGACAAAGGAAACACAAACACCAGCCTAGACATATTAAAAACAGAAACTTCTCTTCTCTCATTAGCTCCTGAGCTACAGTTTTAACAATTAATCTTAAGAAATACGCATAAAATGTATTTTTCTATATGTGTGCATTCTGAATATAACAACATGAGTCTGTTCTGTAAGTCAGTAATGACCCCTTAAAGTTACAACATAATTAAACTTAAAATAAAAATCAGAAGTACTTTCTTTATCTCTGGTAAAAGACGGAAAATTAACCTGGTTTGTGTTGTCTGTAAACTGTCTTAAACTTTTAGTAAGAGCTTAATGCTGTTGATCCTATCCTCTAATAAAGACAAAGAGCTGATACAAAGAATATATTACTCTTCTTTCTTACTCACCCCGTCAGCTAGAGAGGGGCTACAGGCTGGGTTGCCTTTCTCCCCACCTGGCAGAGCAGGTGAGTGCGGCGCAGAGAGAGAGGAGGGTGTGCTGACCTCTGCTCCGTCCTCCTTCACCTCCTCCTCTTCCTCCCCGAGGGGGATCTGAGGGAGTCCCGGAGGCCTCCCCAGCACTGTGAGGGCTACATATGAACCCGCTGCAGGAGAGGAGTCATGGGAAAGGAATGAAGGGAGGGTGAAGAAGAGACAGAAAAATGCTGACAACGTAAAAAAAAGAAATCCAAGCCACTGTGAAAACTTGATTATTAAAACCAGCTGAAAGACAGAACCCCGTCAGGAGAATATTTAACCACATAAAAGAAGAAAGAAGAACAAAATGGTGACATAATGCATATTATTTGTCATGAATTACATGTTTTGTCTAAGCCAGCTGTGAGCACAATGAATGGGAAAACCCCTCTTCTCCCTTTCATGAATAAACCTCAATAGTTATTTCCCACAAGAAATCAAAGATTTTAAAGTTCAACCCAAGACTTGACTGACTTACAAGTGTCTCAACCAATCAAAGCAAAGAGAAACTGGTTCCAGAGATTAAAAAAAAAAACAGAAATTCTTCAATTCTACAATTCCCTTAGCAGATGCTTTATCCAAAGTGGTGAACATCAGAGAGTAAGAATAACAGAAACGAGGATCTAGAGAGGAGGAAACAATGTCAGGAAGTGAAAAAAACAGCTCTGAGTCTGATAAGACAGACAGGTGCTGACAGGAAGTGACCAGAGGTGCTGACAGGAAGTGACCAGAGGCAAAGCATTCTTTCTTTCTTTTTCTTTTTTTCTTTTACATAAAAATTAAAGGCAGGGTTGGTCATTTTCAAAAACTAGCATGATTTAGAAAGTAGCATTCCCTCAGAGCTCGGTCTTAAAATATCTTGATCAACAACAACATCAACAGCTGTTCTTTAAAGTTCTAATCAGCATCCTCATCATCACCTGTAAAGCCCTTTACAACCTGGCTCCCCTCTACCTGTCTCACCTCCTCCACCGACATACTCCCACCAACCTTCGGTCCTGGGGGGACAGGGCCTTCTCCATTGCCGCTCCCACCCTCTGGAACTCTCTCCCAAAAAACATCAGCGACTCCCCCACACTCACTTCCTACAAGAAATCCCTCAAAACTCATCTTTTCATCACCGCCTACAACCACTGACTCTCATCCTCTTCCCTCTACACTGCTTCTGTGTTGTATTGTTCTCTTAGTTTTTGCTTTGTTTTTTGTTGTTGTTTCCTGTCAAAGCGTCTTTGAGTATTTAGAAAAGCGCTATATCACTCTAATTTATTATTATTATTATTATTATAAATATCATCAGTATCACAAAGTGAATAGGTGACATCAAAGATGCAACATCCATGTTTTGTTTAATATCTTAAGCCCTCACATAGAGTGATAATGAAACACCTTTAAGGCTTGCTTTCACCTTATTATTGTACAAAGAACATTTTCTCAGTATGCTATGGCAAACAAGTCAGTTCAAGTCTGTGCAGAATAAGATGAAGCAGCTTTAAGAAATGAGATAAAAACTGCAAGGCAAAAATAGCAATGAAGAAATACCAAGATAAAATAGTTTATGAAAATAAAATAGGAAACATGGACATTTTACAAAATAGAAAAAACAAATTGAATGAACTTTAAACTAAAGGGCCCATATTCTTCTTTTTCTGGTTTTATATGCCCTTTAGTGTGTTTTCCAAGTGTCCTGTGCATGTTTAGGCACATCTATGTGCAAAAATTCAAGCTGCATGTAACGCTCGGTTCTAGCCCCCCTCGATAAAAATGTGTCAGTGCGGCGTCATTGTCAGTGTGAGATCACTGATCTAAGCCCATTGGCTCGTTGTGGCCCAGCAGCTCATGTTGCACGCCCGCTAACTTCTGTAGCACGCCCACGATATGCCGTAGCCTGCGGTAGCACAGTAGTGCTAAGGTGCTAATGTTTATGCTCCCCTCGGACGGAGCCAGTGGCTGCATTCCCAATATGGTAAAAGAGGCGGGACATTTCTGAGAACTGTGCTGAGCAAATGACCAATAACGACAGAGCGGATCGGCAGACCAATCAGAGCAGACTTGGCCCACGTGGGGTCTAACAGTGTGGGCTCAACAGAGTGTAGCTGACGGTAGTACATGAAAACAGACACTTTTTTCGGACTTTATCTATTGTGAACGTACAAAAGTAGGAACATAGATTAAATATATGAACCCCGCAAAGGGCAGAATATGGGATCTTTAAATTGTGTAAACTGAGAAGAATTTATGTATAAGAGCATACTTACATTTTATGAGCTTTACAACCTCTATGTGGTTTGAATGTGTGACCAAACTCCCATTAACCTGTCAGAAAATCAAAAAAAAGATTTATTACATTTTACTTCTGACATTTGTCCTCACTGAGTAAACACATTCAAAAATAACAGATCCATATTAAATACAATTTTGTGTTCATTTTCTGCAGTGAGATAATTTTCCTGCTTCAGAGTTAATTCTTTACATGAAGGCAAACATAGAGGTTCAATGCCAGGCACTGTAAGCTAACCTGTTATGTCTGATGTATTATTATCATAATATATTAAAAAATAACGATACAACACCTTTAATAACAGATAATTACAAAGTGCTATGGCAGACGAAGCAAAGGCATGAGCTCAGGAAATATTCAAATAAACATCAAACAGAGGCGAGTCAATAAATTAGAAAGTATGAATGCAAATACAATAGGTAAAAGTGATCAAATATGTAGCTCTTCTAAGGCAAAAAAGTTTATTTTATAAACTCAGCTGAATTTTTCAAATGCTGTTCATACAAACATGCAGCCCAACATGTTTCACAAAGTCACAAACAAAAGAGAAATATGAAATAAATAATGAACAAAAGTTAAAATGAAGATAAAAAAGACTCCAACATAAAAAAAATACTTGTTCAAAAAAACAGTCAAAAACATTAAACTGTAAGAAATCAATAAAGTCAGTACAATTTTTAATCATACAAAATAAAACTATTGTTAGATTTAACAATAGGAAAATGTAGCGTTAGAGTGAAGATAATAATTTTAACATGATTTCTTGAACACATGCGTCGCAAAAAGTGCTCGAATTCAATTGGTTTTCAGACTGGCTAAGTTTAACTTTTAGATTTGTTTCTGCAGAGAAGAAAATCAAACTGAGCAAACTCTGTTAAAAAAGACTTGAGCTAAAGGGAGCAGTTTTCACTGTTGAGTTTCGGATCCTCCGCCGTCCTCCACGCACTTCCTGCTCCGACCTCGACCTCAGCGGCGAGGAAGTGTGGACAACAGGAACACGAGGAATACAAAGGAGAAATCCTTCCTGCATGTTATCCCATATGCTCTTTAGTAAAGTGTCTCGAGATAACACTTGTTGTGAATTGGCGCTATACAAATAATGATTGACTGATTGATTCTGAAAGTAAAAAGAAAATAATCAGAGCTCACCTTTATGATCCTGTCTCCTGTCTGAACACCGGCTCGCATCGCAGCTCCATCTGAACCACCAAAGAGAGAACGGGGTCAGAGATGTTGTCTTTACATGTTTTTGAGACCTTGTTATGATGTGTGTGTGTGTGTGTGTGTGTGTGTGTGTGTGTGTGTGTGTGTGTGTGTGTGTGTGTGTGTGTGTGTGTGTGTTTCCATACTTGTCTTTCTATCTTTGTGAGGACTACACTCATTTACACCTTAACGAGGACGTCTGTGCCGTATGTGGACATTTGGGCTATGCTTTACTTTTAAAGGTTTTTTAAGGTTTCTCACTCTTAGGTCTATTTTAGGGGTTTCAGTTAGGAAGCTGTATTTTTTAACGTCAAGGCCAGGGCATGCATTATGTCTAAGAGGGTCCTCACAAGTACAAGAAAGACAGTCTTAAGTGTGTGTGTGTGTGTCCGTGTGGGTTTCTGTGTGTTTGTGTGAACCTTACCTTCTTTTACCAGCTGCACAAACACAGGATTGTCTCCACTAACAGTCAGTCCAAAGCCATTTTCATCTCTCTGGATTATCACACACCGCTGGACAAGACCTGTTAATTACAAACACATAAACATACAGCTTTTTACATAAACATTCTTTTGTTATTTTCTTCACAAGGGGGGGGAGGGGGGGGGGGAATTGGCAAAAAACATAGTAGGGAAAGACAGAGTGGTCTACGTGGTCTACGTGGTCTGTCCAAACTAAAGAGTCGAGTCTTCAAACATATTGCTCCTGATAGATCATGTTTTTTTTAAATCAACGACTCCATCCATGCCAGAACTTATCAAATGAGATCAACATCTAAGTTGTATGTTCATTATCTTACCTTTAAGAGTGTGCCCGATAAGTTAGTTTAATTTAGAATTATCTGAAAAAATAATTAATAAAGTTGTTTTTTTTCCTCATACTGCTTCACTTGTTTGCCTAAAAGATGTTCTTGCACAAAAAGCCTGGTGCCGTCACTTGTGGGAAAAAAAATCTGCACACAGGAAATGACAAATCAAGACACTGAAACAGAAAAGGATTTAAGATAGAAAACTGTTTTTTTCCATGGTTACCCCAGACCAGCTACTTGGTCTTATTTACATTCATCTGAATGTTTTAATTCATCATGAATCCAGTGAAAAATGGGTCTATTGTGCGATTTAATGGGTTTCACATTGATAATCAAAGAGAACATCTGTCTGCTGGAATGTTTTTTTTAGCTGTATTCAGAACACCTGGCTGAGGCGGAGTGATACACAGAGTGAATAGTCTCCTAGATAGTTCCTTATCAACACAAAGGGAATGGTTTTTGTTGAATTACTTGGTTTCAAACAAAGTCTTTAATAATATTTCTATAAATAAAACTAAAACTCCAAAAAAATGTGTTTATTTATTTTATTCCAGTGACAATTTGGGCAATCCCATGACACGTACAAAGGGCAGAGCTAATCATATCCGTATATGACTGTTGTGTTGACTGAAAGCAGTGCCTCTGTGTGTTAACAGAGCTGAGTCAGTCAGACGTCTTTATTCACCGACAGTCCGATAACTGCAGTGACCATCTGCTCTTTTCTTCCTGTAGTCACTGAGGAAGTTTAGAGACTCACTATCAGCCTCCTAGTCTGGTTTTTTCCTTTTCCTGCTCCTGAGTGGATAATTGGTTGTCCTCCGGCCTCCATGAAGGATGCCTCAGAGGGTGAAGAAAAGGGCAGGAAGGAACCCCCGTCAACCCCGTAACCGTGACAACCACCTAAACGACTTGTTCCTGAGTGCCGACTGCACCTACACCATCTCTGTCCTCCACTACCGTACGCTAGCCTTTGTGGTAAAGACTTCTTAACGATTCAAATGTAGAAATTAAAATCAAAAGTGTTGTTAGGAGACAAACTGTTTATCTGTATTATTCTATTTTAAAAACTGAAGCAAATATTCACATTTGGAAAGAAACTAGAAAATATTTGGGAAAATTTATTTTTAAAATGACAACAGCTGTAATCAGTATTAATTGCTGATTATTTTTATTTGTTATGGCTTAATTATTTTACTTTCAAATCTAATCTTTATGTAATAATAAACTCTGTTGAATCAGAATTAATTCAACTTAATTATGGGCTTCTGCGTAAGTTGTGATAAGTGAGTTAAAAACACAAAAAAGTCAAAAAAAAAAAAAAAAGATTGTTTAGTTTGTGACAAATCACATTTCAGCTTTGTGTTTCCACATAGACCGTCGTACAGGACTGTTGCTCCACAAAACAGAAGCTGCAGCAAAGCTTTAGAACAAATGAATACACAATCAAATCAAACAATATTAAACTGTAAAAACAAGAATCAAAGTCTGAGGACAGAAATGAATATGAATGCATCTCTTACCTGTCGGGTCGAACTCGTGTTTGAGGGAGACAGGGGATTTCTCATTCTTGGGTTTCTTGTCAGTGGGGTCGTGGTTGAGAATGCTTGGGGTCCTTAGGAGACAGACAGAGAGTAAGGCAAACACTTAAAATAATAATAATAAATAAATATCTTCAAATTTCACACACCTGTTATGATCAAAAATAAAACATTCAATATATAATGAATATTTCCAAAAATCCTATCCATTCAAATGTTTTAGCAGTAAACTGTAAAGACATGGAGACGGTATCGCTCTTCTAGACTAGTGCTCTAGAAAACAAAAGTGAAAAGTTGTTATGATAGGAGAAGACCATTTTCACACCGCTGTCGCTCACCACTCGTATTACAGGTCGCCTACTAATGGAGAATAATGTCTGATAAAAAGTAGAAAATGGCGCTGCCGTTGTCAGTTCTTGGTCTTTTAGTGGAAAAATAAAAGAAGAGGCGGAGGAGACAAATAAGGAGAAACCGCACTAATGGGTGAAAGCATGGATACTACAGAGACATGCTCAAGGGGCTTTACTGAACCTGAGAGGAGAGCTGGAGAAAAATGAAACTTCTGAACAGTCGAATCAGCAAAAAGGCTGATGGGGGCTGACGGGAAAACCAAATATAAACGTAACATAAAATCAAACAATCCCAATGGCAGTCGGTTTAGTGCCCCATAAACATGTCTGTGTGTTTAAAGTGGAAAGACAAAGATTTTGAAGTGTAATTTTAAATTAAATTCTGATAACCTCACCATGCACCGTACTTCCTCTTTCCTGGTGTTTGCTTTACTAATTAAAATGCACACCCCTCCTGGGAGGTGGACCTGATGGTGGTAAGTTTATATTAATCGCAGAGGTTCCCCCTCTTGGTGTCCCTCCCTACAGCTCCTCCTTCTCGTTCCACAAGAGGGAGTTTTGTTTTTGCTGCTGCTCCTCCCTTGGACATATGGGGGCCCTGGGATTTTAACAATGGCTCCCACGTCAGAGCCAACTTACTACTTTGGCTCTGTGGGACAGATTCCCGGAAACAGAGACAAGGGGTCTTTGGCTCGGCTCCAGTTTCCTGAATGTGGGAGAAGGCTGGGAAAGAAACAGAGGAGGGAGGCAGGAAGGAGGAGGAGGAGGAGGTGCACAAAGTGTGTTTGAGGGAAGACAGAAGACAGAGCTGCAGAACTGTGACGCTTAGACTCCACTGTGTGAACAACCCAGTGTAAACTAATGTAGCTCAAATTAATTTGATTCTGTGATCTCAGATTCGGACGGAAAGAAGACAAAGAAAAAGTTGTATACTTAAATATTTGAAATTTATTCTAGGCATGACAACACTGTCATTGTCACAGACTAAAGGGGTGAAATGATGTTGAGCAGGAGAGATTAACGGTGGTAGCTGGGTTATGTTTTTTTGTTTCTGAGATTGCTAGGCCCACTAAGGGAGCGCTCCTTGCTTGTGGTAAGAGGAGATTAGAAGTTGATAAGACATGGCGAGACAGGGACAGATTGCATCCTGCTCCGTGGGTGGCAGCTAAGTAAGTGCTGCTGGATAAGAGGGAGGCATTTCAGCTTCAGATATTTAAGGCACATTCATGGAGCATCAGACATGTCCTTCTTTTGGACGGGTTTAGTTAACGTTGTCGCGGGAAAAATACTCTACCTAGACACCCGAAAACATAGCTAATCATTCTTAATAACACCAGATAAAAGTATGATTGCATTTTCACTAAACAAAGTTACCAAAATATTAAATGTGTTAGTGTGTAAAAAGAAAGAATAACTAACTTACATTCAAAGCAGGCTCTTTAATGTTTTTAATTATGACTGCAGTACCCATTTTAAACACTAGGTGTCAGAGTTACATACTGCTCCTTTAAAAGTCAACATCCTGGGTAACATAGACTTAGAATTCAGCCACAAAGTTCTTCAATATCACAACAGCTTGACAATGTACCAACTGTGCAAAGATATAGGCTGCCATACAAATCAAATGTGCTTTTCTAATGTTCTGTGTCCACCAATCTAAGTATGTTCCACAAAAGGTAAAGTGTTTGTGTCCCTGGGAAAAGAGAACTGGCCCCAACATTAAAGGGAACCACTTATCGTATTAGCGTCACTAGAATCACATTCATGTCTGCTGGTTAACTTTTTCAGACTCTCTTTGCTTTCTGCAGCCCGGTTATCAAAGTAGAAAAACAAAAACATGCAGCAATCAACTTTTGCCTTAGATTCCAAAAATACCAGACAATTCCTCTGGGATGATAACAGCAAAGGAAGTCGAGAAAACCAACTCGGAAAGAAGCTAAAGCTACACAAATAGTCTTCATGTTCTCCTCACTTTAAAATCCACTTAGATAATGTTCAATACAAAATACGAGGTCGAATTTAAAGATCATTGAACACAATTTAGAAATGACAGGAGCATTGTTTACATGACTGAACAACACAATTATGATACTTGTCCCTTTGCTTTCACGGAAAACAAGTTATTCAATCACTCAACTAAGGTCCTTATTTAACACTTTAATCCTTGCAAACAGGTTAATGTAATAATTTGATTGTTGTACTAAGTGATTGCACAAGGTAAACTGTTAGAAACACAGAAAAAGCACCGAGGCTACACTTTACTTTCGATCTAAATCTCCATGTACCACATGTCTCCTGGGAGCTCCTGATAATATCAGCCTTATATCTTTTATCATCAACATAAATATTAAAGTGAATCTAGGAGCTGCTCAACTTCAACCTCTATAATTAACACAATCAGTCCTCCCTGTTTCATCATCATTACAGTTGCCACAACATTAATATAAGACTGATCCGTCTATAATAGTACATCGCTGTTACTGCTCATACTACACTCTCTCATCAGTTCACCCTGACTTCACGCAGAACATTTACTATGGGGCTGGCAGGAAAGACTCCAGGTTAAAGTCGGAGTGAAATATGTGGCTTTCTGCGTTCAGACATGCAGCTCACTCTGAACATTTCAACAAGTTTTCAGGAGTTTAAGACAAATCTAGTCTGTGTTAAGCGGAAAAGAAAGTCTAGATCAATCTTGAAAACACAACAATTAAAGCTGCAGACAGATTTTTGTTGGGCATGTACACATGAAGACCAGGTTAACAATTCCCAACACATTTTCATTTGTTATGGTTTTGCTTATGAACAATTAATTGTCCAAATTTTATTTTAAACGGCTAATGGTGCTGTCAGTGTTTGTCTATGAAGGATGACCTTAAAATCTTTACAGATACTGAAAATGTGAAAGACCCAACACATGACCAAGTTACAGATTAACACATTTTGTTCCTACAGTGTGTGGAGAGCAACGATATGACCAAAACAGCACATTATAAACATTAAATATGTTTATTTTAATAAATATTTATAACTCTTTCCACAAGTGGAAGTGTACATAGCTGGTATTTTTCTATTATTGTATTTTTTCTCCCTTTATTTAACTGATGTACATATGTTTGATTTTTAACTTCTTGTTATTTTTAATAATTATATTCCTGTTTCCTGTTTTCTTGAGCTGTTGTAATGAAAAAATTTCCCCCATGGGGGATCAATAAAGTTTATCTTTATCTTCATCTTTAATATATCAATCATAAACATCCAAAGTCCTGACTTTTAAATACTGGAAAACTTGCAAAATCTCACACGGACAACGTGCCTTTAGAGTCAACAAATATAGCAGACAGCAGGCAAGTAGAATTTGTGATTATTCTTGACTACTTTTACTGAAAATGCATGAAAAAGTAACAACTATAGATACAGATGTGGAGACAGTGTTAGAGTATGAGCTGGAGGTGAGTAGAAAGTGATTGTCTTCCCTTCCTTCTTCAGTCAGCTCACTTCCCGATTGCTTTTGTTTCACT